CTGTTCGCTGCTCTCGGCTCTAACCTGCGGCCTAACTTCCGCTCTTCCCCCGGAGAGGAACGGGAGGCGGAGAATGGGAGCGCCCCTGTGTGGCCTAGGGACAGCCTCCCCCACCCGGGGCCGCGGCCTCAGGCCTGCGGCTGGGTTCTGCACCACGATGCGTTGGGCGGGCAGGGAGAAGGAACAGAGGGTGGCCGGCAAACCTGAGCTCAGAGGCGGGCAACTCCTAGCACACCAACTCCTAGGCGTGCAAAACCTAACCGGGTTGTCCTTGCTTATCTCCATATACGAAGATGGGCTAAGAGAATTGGGGCTGTTCAACCTGGAGAAGAGAAGGCTGCACGGAGACCTCATAGCAGCCTTCCAGTATCTGAAGGGGGCCTACAAGGATGCTGGGGAGGTACTCATCATTGGGGACTGTAGTGATAGGACAAGGGGTAACGGGTTCAAACTTAAACAGAGGAAGTTCAGGTTAGATACGAGGAAGAAGTTCTCTGCTGTGAGGGTGGTGAGGCACTGCTTCTATGATCTCCACAGGGCTGACCAGAGCTGAGGTCTGAGGTGTTCGTAAGGGTGTGTGCACATCTCCCATCAGGTTTCATTACTGTGAACTTCATGACAATATTTGACTGTGAGGCAGCCACTGTTGCTAATAGAGATAGAGAAACTCTTGAATGAAAGCTGCCATGCATCTTTTATCATCTCCATGTACACACGCATAGAGACACATTGCATGATCATGTATGTTTTCTAGATCCTTTTCTTGTACAATGAACTGAAGTGACCTAGTTTCTGAGAAGCCTCATGGTTATGTAATAAAGGAGGCTGTTGACTATTTAGTCCTCCACTCATTTGCTACAGAAGTTGGAAGTTATGAATGAGACTAGGAAACTATGAGGGGAGTACTTCAGTTTCATAGTGAAGGCATTTAGGTACTACATAGGAGAATGGAGAATTTACTCTTTCTGCTCCAGAGTCCTTGTCCAAGGCAAGTGTTGTCACGGGATGTCGTGGCCTTCTTTGCTACAGGGATTATGTTTGCTGGTTCATGGTGAGCTTGGTGTCCATCAGGGTCTCCAGCACCTTTACTGCAGAGCTCCTTTCCAGACACTTGCCTCCCCAGCCTGACCTGGTGCCTGGGGTAGTTCCTCCCCAGGGCAGAACTTAGCATTTCCTGTTCTTGAACTTCATGAGGTTCCTCTCTGCCCATTTCTCCAGGCTGTCAAAGACCCTCTGGGTGGCAGCACAACCATTTAGCCTGTCACCCACTCCTCCCAGCTTTGTATTACCTGCAGACTTGCTGGATGTGCACTCTGCCCCATCATCGAGGTCATTAATGACAGTATTAAACAGTATTGGCCCCAGTATTGATCCCTGGGCGAATGACTACTGAGTGGATAACTAGTGACAAGACATTCCAACCCTAACATGAAGCACCAGCTTCATATCTGTGCAATATATAGGTGGTTTCCCCCCCCCCCCCCCCCCCCATTTCTGCCATAGGGAATAACCTCTTTAAGGGAACTGGAAAAGACTACAAATTTTCTTCAGATTCCCCGAGTATAGTATCGCCCTGTGTTTGAAGATCAGCTCAGTTAAGCAAACTGTATTTGTTGGTACTGCATGTCCCCTTTATTGTATATAGAGATGATAGTCTTGGCAGCAGAGCAGAACCATGTCATGAGAATGATGTGGTTTTGCCCTAGAAATATCTTGGACTGATGGGTTACCTTGCTTTTCTTTTGCCTGCTAATCCCCCTCACCTAAAGATATACATTTAAGGTTGTGCAGCTTTCTGAACACCTGCCATTTTCTTGAAAGCTGCCTAACACACAGCTTTTATGTATTTCAGCATCGTATCTGTCCTACCAGACTCCTTGGATGGATAAGGATATACAATACTTGATCCCTCACTGTCAGGTTTGATGCGTGTAAGAATTGAGTGACTGAAGTCTTAACACTGTGTGGCCACACGGGGCTAGAATTGGTGATGTTACAAGTAGGGGATGAAGTAAGAAGAGATCACACCTCCTTACCAACCCTGATAAGTTAACGTTTACCTCTGGAACAAACCAAGGGTGTGCTGCAGCTTCTACAGTACTGCTGATCTCAGCCTCTGCAGCCCCTTCTTCCACAGAAACTATATTGTGATTTTGTCTGCACCTGTAATTGTGCAGATGAAAAGCTCAGCTAGGATAATAACAACAGAAATCTACATAATGGTTATTATTGTTTCTGGTTACTTTGATTGCACTGAGACAAAGCTTTACAAGATAATTGCACTGATCAATCCTAGGTGGGTGCAAGAGAAAATCCCTGGGATGGTGTGTGATGAGAACATTAGGGGAAGGATCTGTAATTCTCTTAAGTAAGTGTAATTTTAAGGAACACACTGTGTTAAAATGCTTAACTTCATGTCTGGTTATACCAGATGGCTTCCATCAAGAGGCAGATGTTTTCCCCAGTCTTCCCCTGAAAAAGGACATCAGAATTTAACCACGCCTCTGTATTTGAATACGTAGCATGAACAAAAGCATATGCTGTAGATATCAGCTTCATCTAACTGTTGAGTGAAAGCACTGGGGTGGTAGATACAGCCTTGTGGGGAAGCGTGTCTTGAAAGTGATAGATTTTCCAAAAATACATGCATTCAGTTGAGATGACTCCCAAGAAGATAAAGGAGATAATCTGCATTTTATTTACTTAAGGTTGAAACATGCTTAGCTAAACTTCTTCAAAAAGCATTATATATATTGTATTGTATAAGTCATCTAATGTCTCTGAAAGATGACTTGGCTGAGTATTTTCCTATTCAAGACTGACAACTTTGATGCTGTAAGCCTGTCACAGCATACTTAATCCATGCTAAAACCTGTTCCACAGCAATTTTCAGGAGGCTGTAGAGCACGAGGTGGCCAGCCTCCCAAAATCTGCAAGCAGCTCACAGAAATCTGCAAATGGGCAAGAGCCACAGAGCACGTGCTATATACCTCACCACTCCCAGGAGAGCTGTGGGGTGGTTTGTAGACAGGGCGTGACAGCAGCTCACCAGCAATCCACAGACCCTGTTCTTGCCTGAAGCCCGAGCATGCAGCTGCGGTGCAGGGTGGCTGGGTAGAGTCACTCTCTGCTTTCCCCTGTGGCTAGGGATTTGAATGAACCAGCCATCCTGGTGCTAGAGAGGCTTGTTGCCAATTACATGATGTAATGTTATTATGAGAGCCGTATCTGAACTACTCAGAAGTGATGCAAAAGTTGTTCGGCAGTCACAGACTGGCCAGCCCCTATGGCAGAGAGTTTATAGCTGTTTATATATAATTCCTCAATGCAAGAACTCCTGAAGGCGGTATCACATTTAAATATTAAAACAAAATATAGAGACATTCAAAAGCTCTCACAGCTCTTCCATGCACAGACACTTCATTGGATCCACTGTGATAACCAGGGGCAGATTTCACTTGGGAAGGGAAATAACCTCATCCTGTTTTTTGAGTGTTTTCAGTAGGAAGGGAAGCTTTACCCTTCTCAAAAGCTGGCAGGACTTACCATCAAAAACTAGAACAGCTTTTGCTGTGAGTGCCCCATGTGAAAGAGGTTTGGGTAGTTTCCATTGTGACAATCCTTTAATGTTTCTAAATTGTTGACTCCTCAGCCAAGGACCTCCTGCCAGGATTTCTGCTGGCTTTTACAGAAGCAACTCAGGGAATGACTTTAACACACGGAATACAATAAAATGCGCATTTGGGGTTTGATCCCGCTCTCACTGGGCTATTGGAAATGTTCTCAGTTGCCTTCAAAAGGAGACGATGCAAATTCTTAGCATCGCAGTAATCAATTATCAGTCTGCTTAAATTGCAGTGTCACCAACTTTTACATCACCTGGCTCTTTGTGTTTGAAAATCAGGTTTTCATGCTCTGTTAGCAGAGGATTTATTTTTTTTTTTCCCCAGCAAATATCTTTGGCAAAGCTCTGTGCTTCTCAATGGAAATACAGCAGAGGCTAATTTAGCTTCTTGTTTTTTGTTTTTCTTGGGCAACCTGAAAGAAGAGGATATAAACTAGCTCATTTGTGAAAGCTAGTTCCATTTTCCCCACAGCTCCTTCTCTAAGAGTGGAGTTAGTTTTGCAGTGACTGATCTACACAGGTGTATTTTCAACAGTGCACATACTTTTGCACCGACATTTTTCTGTATAGCAGTACACAGACTGTCTCATGGCAGATCAGCTGCACAAGAGGTTACCACACACACACCTTTATGTGTGTAGCTGGCTACCCATACATAGCCCAGGATAGACACATCCTTTTGGTCCTGCCCTTGAAAACCCTATAGGTAGTTGTCTTTACTCATAAAGTAAACCATTATTTACTTTGTTGGGGCTACTCCCATGATGCTTTCACAGTCACACTTCACATCTTGAAATGCATGACTCGGAAGCATGAATCAACACTTCTCCCTTTCCTTAGCAGGGATGCGTACAACTTAACATCTTCCCTCCTCTGCACAAGGAGAACATGTCTAAACATTTTCATTTCAGAAGGGAAGCTGATGACAGAGATTCCTGTGCCATCGCAACAGAAGTTCATTTAAGCTTTCCTGTCTAGCAATCTACAGATAGGAAACATTCTCCCCTCACCTTCACTGGAAAATGTGTAGAGATGAAACCAACAAACAGCCAAAAGGCCATGTCATAATGAAATGCACACTCGTCTTACGAGACCTGTGTGAAAAATTTATTTGGACAGAACATTTTACCCTGCCTTTCTCTTTATGATAGACCAAAACTTTTTTTTTTAAAGAAGTTTTTAACAGACCAAAACTTTTTTGCCTTTCCCTTTCACCCTTTCCCTTCCCACTGCAATGAGTCTGCAGTCCAAGGAAAAAAATGGGGGTGCTTGACCCCCCTTTGGTGATGGGCTGAGCAGAGCTGTGGGCTGTCCTGCCGTGTGGCAGAGCTGGTCCATTCCCCAGCTGGGGAGGACTTGTGTTTCTCTACAGTCTCCTTCAAGTGCAGTGCCACAGAATGGTCCATAAGGAGAAATTATGTTGAAAATACTGAGTATGACAACTCTTCTTTAAGCAGGAAAGAAATACCTATTTAGAGCAATGGGGAAAACCCCATGCAGCAGGGATATGAAAAGTGTGTTGTTTCATCTGCACAGGTAAAATGTAATAAGTAAGATTCAAAGTTCAGAAGAGAATTTAAGGTAATAATTCCCTGTTTGTAGTAGATCAGGAAAAGTCTAGAAAACCAAGGAGGAATGCAGGGAGGAGAGGAAGAACCTGTCAGCAGTGATTTTTAATCAAAGAGAAAAATCATTGCACTGTGGAGAAGATAACCAGAATCAAAAGTGATCAAGAACACAGCTGTCGATAGAAGTGACAACAAAAACGTCATTTGGTGTAGTGCCTTGCTGAGGAAAGATGTGCCTGGAGACAGAAGTCATTAGCAGGTGAGAAGAGGGTGAGGCAAGCACCATTTTTTTTCAAAGCAGGGATGAAAACAAGTACATCTGAAGCAGAAGGGAGAAGATGGTACAACCACATAAATGATCAAAGAAGACATACCATATACTGTGTTAGCATAAGAGACAAGCATGGTAGCTTCACAAGCTGATCTTACAAACCATAAATTACGGCAGTGGCGTTAGTCGTGAGCGTCTGAACTGGTGAAAGTGGAGTTCCATACGCATTACTAAGAAACCCATAATCATACGTTGAGACATGCAGAAACGGTGTGGGTGTCTGCACGAACTGGGGGCTAAATCCTTTTTACCCTTTTACTTTATCTGAAAACTTCCTGTATGGATGATGCTGAGATTTTTCTTTTTCATTATTTCAGGATTATTTTGGGGGAGAGCCATTTTAATATTCTGTTCTCATAAGGGCAAAATTTGGACTCACCCTGATACTGCTGTTGGGTAGTTTTAAAGCAAAGGAGGGAAGCTTTTAATAATGATCCGTGAAGAAGCCTCAAGCAGCATTCTTTCTGCTCTAGATTCCAGCTTCTCTCAGTTAGCGTAGTCCTATCATATAGAATCAGGTACAAGAATAGGCCCCTGAAGGAGACATAGTGAGAGCTAAGAGCCCACAGTATACTGGGGTACTCCATCACTGCTTTTTGGACAAACGTACGTGTTGTATGCATCTCAGTCTGACAAACTTGCTTCTGTCTTAGAAATGCAAGTGTATAGAATGTGTATCCAGTGGTCAATTTTCAGTGTTGTAAATGCACATTTTTATAGCAGCAAAATCATAGTCTAGTAGAAAACCAAGCTTCAGGTGTAATAGCACAAATCAGAACCATCCTTGCATAGAATTCAATTACAATCAAGACTTTCTGGTAAACATACTATTTTTCCACTGTGTATTTTGCATGCTGTTTGCATGACATCTCGTTTTCTGTCTTTCCCTTGTTGGCTGACTTTGTGCCCTTTTGGCTTGTCCTTTTTTTTTTTTTTTTCTTTTTAAGCCTAGTGGTGATTCACTGGAAAAAAATCCATTTAGCCAGTGAGCAGGAATTTATGACCTATTTACAAGTGAACTTCTCTATACTTTTCGTAGGCCAAAGTCAACCCCCACAGTACCTCACAGACTGCATTTTAGAACATGTGTCACGTTCCCAGTGATTCCTGAGGACCCCCATCCAGCCTGTCTGTGTGTGCCTCACCTGGCCTGCCTGTGCTGTAGATGCTATTCACTATTTGGTCACCGAGAATATTTTCTCTTAAAAGAGCCTACATTCTTGGGATGGACTATGTGTCTTCCAGAAAGGACTCTAGAAGATACTGCGTTGCAGGAGGAATAATGATATATAATAGCATTTGAGGTTCTACTCTCTGCTTCCTGGGGTAACACCTGGTGTAACTCTTGGTCCTTGAGCCGTTGCTAACTGCTGCAAAGCCTCCACATTTCTGAAAGGGTAACCCTGTAAATATGCGCTGGACAACCTAATGCTTTCCTAACATTGACCACAGGATGGCAGTACAAGATTTTCGTTTTCACCCTTGTTTCAATTGTATGTGTACGTGCCTTGTGCGTGTGACAGTGTAGTTAGACAGAAAATTAAAACCAGTAGTGCTTTTTTCCATTTTAGAAACAAAGATATACGAGTTTCCTTTCAAATAGGGCTGGATTATGAAAACACAGAACCAATAAGAAAACAATGCTGTTGCTGCATGTGAAGTGTTGCCATAAATACCAGATTTCAGATGTGCACCTCAGCTTTGTTCCTATGCTGACTGTGCATTTAATTAATTTAGACTTCTTTTTTCTCCCCCAGTATACAACTTATATTGCGAATATTATTTAGACAATGTATTATAATGGGTTTTGAACTCAGGGAGCTGGTGTCCTAAAACTAAAACATCTTCAGGCTGCGTGCTAAGGCACACTCCCTGCCGGTGTGGTCCCGTTCTGCCGACAGAGCTGCGAGCAGTTGCCAGAAGGTTAGTTCAGCCTTCCTCCCCTGTCTCCAGCTTCATGATCCCATTTTCTTTTCACAAGGCAAATCAGGGAATTTGGTTTGTCTGAAAATGTACCTCACAAAACCAAACAGCTTTTAATCTGGTTAGTTCCCCTTCAGGCTTGCAGCTTGGGCACCAGCACCAGCAAGAGGAGGCAGCAGGGAGCCTGGGATCATCTTTCCAGCTGCACCTCATTCTCAAGCTGGTTAATGTGATGGCAGAGCTGAGGAAAGCTTTCAGGCCTGGGCTCCATTGGTTGTTTATTCAAATGGCTTGCCATCGCAGGTGCTATTTTCTGGTTTGGCATTCACAGTGAAATGCTGATGGCATGGCTTGCTCCGTGACATTTTTGTCAGGATGCAATATAGTAAAGTATCATCAGGGCTATATTAGTGCCAAGGGCAATTCAGGGTTTAAACAACGCGTCCTGCTTTGAACTGCTGCTAAAACACACCCATACACTCAACTTCTTACTGATACGTGTCCATGCTAGTGAATTGCACTGACTACACAGCTTAATATCTACAAAAAGACTATGCGGGTGAGCTCAGGAGACTGAATACCCTATTGACAACTGTCATAATTTCACAGCTACTATATGATTGAATGAGGACTTTGTCAATAAAAAACTTCGCAATTCAACAGAAGAGTTGAAAGTATGAGCTCTGCGGCTAAAAAACATGAGGGCACTTTTAATTTGTAAATCCGTATCTTTAAGGTAACTCTTTGAATCCTGGGAACGTGCTTTATGATTTTTAATCCTTGGGTTTCTCAGCCCTATTGTTTCTTCTCTTCCAAGTCACCCCAGTGGCTGAGCAAGGAAGGGCGTTAAGGTCTCTGAATAAAGCGAGGTAAACGCCAAGCACTGCCATGTCGGATACTCTGCTGCTCATGTTCTTATCAAGCAAAAACTCTCAGAGGCATAGCCAGGGCTTGGGCAATACTCACCTATTTGCTCAGACTGCTTCCGGAGATAGATAGTTTGATAAACAAAAGCTAAAGGGTTTTTCAGATGGCAACTGTCTGTCAGTGTTGCTACTTTTTTAAAGCTTATATACATGTGCTTAGTAGTCCCGGTAGTTCACTGCCAGATAAACAAAACACACAGTTCAGCAGTGCTGCTCGAGGTATAATAAAGGCTCCATATAAATGCAGCAGAGCAACACTTACTTCTGCTTTCCCCCTTCCCAATAAAGGGTAGTTTTATGTTTCAGAAGGTTTCTGGAATGACTGATATGATCTGATACAGAACCAGCCTTTATGGAGCGGGAGCCTACACTGGAAGACTTGGTTGAGGAAAAACGCATTTTCCGTAGCTAGGAGCACTCAGCAGCCTGAGAGAAGAGCTACTTTTACACTGTCAGTCTCCAACTTCAGCCCATATCAGTAACATTTCTGAAATCTTATATTTTTCTTTGTAAGGCAGCTTCAGGTAAATCTCCTTTCTGTCTAAAAAGAAGAATATTTTTCTTTTTTATTTTCCAGGACATAGCTTTCTCTCCATCTCTTCTAATGGTGTGCTGATAACTGAAAAATGGACAGAAATGCCTGTTTAGTATGAGGTATGGCTACAATTTACATTGCCTAAATAGAACTGAAAGCATTGACCTGTTCACTCTAAACTATAGAAAAGCTATTCCCTTCTTTTCAAGACATGATGTAAGTTGGGTTTTCTTCTTTCATACGTGGAAAACAGTAGCACATAGTCATAAAGTGTGTTTGCAGTTGTGGTAACCCTTTGAAAAAAATCCTTTAGTGCTACACCTAATATTTCCATGTTTTAAGGTGCAGTATCTCGAAACAGAGACACAGCAAGTTCACAACTGCACCAACCCAGAGCATGTCACACAGCCTGTAAAGAATTAAGCTTCACAAAAGCCTCATGGCACAAGGAGGTTTTTTATTCCCGATGGTGACGATACGTATTTCCATAGCAGCTAGTGGCAGGGATGGCTGCAGCTCCAGTACGAGTGGAGAAGCCAGGAGTCATTCTGCACTGTGTGACCCACAGCGTGAACACCCACCACTGTGTGGGGTGCTGCACAGGGGAGTAGAGGCAGAAGGCGAATGGGACAACCTCCTTGTAAACCACTGTTTGGATGGAGATCCTACAAGGCTTGTTGTCCTACAAGACCATGAAGAATTAGTTATTCTATTTCTGTGGGGAGTGTATCCAATATGAAAGAGACCAGACCAGTAGAGGGAATGGATGGGGCTGTATTTTAGTTATCAGGAGTACAGATGAGCCAATGACACCACGTCATCAAGTCAGAATTGTGCAGACACTGAGCAGTAGCGATGGAGGCAGACCAAACACTACCTCTTGCCTTTAATGCCTTTAATTACTCAAGCTGGGTCCCAGCGATCCCCCTCTGGAAGGTGCCTTTTTGCATGTGTGTTCATCCACGTGCACACACATCCACTTCACAGTGCCTCTCTCCAAATGGTTTCCTTTGGCAGGGGCAGTTTGGGGCTGAAGAGGGGAGAGGAAGAGATAGTAAAAAAACAGAACCGAAAATGTGTAAAGAGAAGAGGGATACGGGAAGGAGGAAAAAAAGAGAAGGGAGGAGGGCAGGAAACACAGAGGGCATGGGGACTTAAGGTACCAGCTGAGGACCTACAGTGGTGGGACATTGTGCTCTTGAAGAGCAACAGAAACCAAAGAGCAAGAAACCAAGTGGTATTGCCTGTATATAAATATATGCTCACACACACTCCAGAATTGACAGAAAATGTGTATTAGGAGGAGGGGGGGTGAAGCCATCTATAGCTGTCCTGGTTCCAAGAGGGCCCCAAATGGTTTCTACTCTGCACCCAGTAGAGCTGCTGTGGGAACCCTGAGGCTCTGGAAGTGTCCATGGCCACTCTCCCAAAGCATCCTTCAGTGGCAGCAGCAATGCTGAGCAGCAGGGCAAGCAGCCATTGGCGAGGCTCTCCATGGGCACTGGTGAGCAGGCAGGTCGAGCCATACATCTGTGGCAGTCAGGCAGAACTGAGAATAAAACCCAGATTTCCTGCGCCTCAGCTCTATCCACGAGGCCATTGCTTCCCCACGCACTGATCTGACATTACAGAACGTATGGCAGTGCAAAGCCACAAAGAAACTAAATTAAGAGGGTAGTGGGCGTATGACTTGCATGTAATGTTTCCCTTTCACTGCAAATTTCTCATTTACTGTTATTTTTGCATAGGCCTGTGTGACTGAATTCCCATAAAGTGGTCTCCCACACCTCAGGCAGTTATTAGAGCAAGAGGCAGTCACTGGGCTGATCTGTGCCTGGAAATTAGAGAGAGACAGACACAGAGCAGGCATCTGCGAAAGAGACTGCAGCAGGGGAAGGGATATATGAACCACTCTGGCACAATTCAGTTGTTAGGCAAATGATTAAAGCCAAAAAGGAGGAAAAATGAACTGCTTCCCTGGTTGTATATATAAGCTGGACATTTGTGGAGAGTGAGCAAGTGGAGTGGTTATCAACAATAAAGGAGTAATAAAAAGATAAGATCTTTGCATTCCAATTAAAAGAAAAATCATTGCAATAGGATCAGATGTTTTCCCTGGCAAAGAGGCAAAGAATTTCTCTCCAGGCAAGAGACAAATACCTACCTCTTCCCCTTTATCAAGTATTAACCCATAGACCTCTGATAGCAAAAGGCAGAGAACCAGCACAGGGATTTCTGTTGCAGATGGGAAAACATCACCCTCACCTCCTTGGTTCAAATCTGAAGAAAGATTGGACCAATGAATCAGTGAGGTGGAGGGAAACCAAGCTATTAGGAGATTAGCATCAGGGGAAACTTTAGAGCAAGATGTCTTTTCTGATGGAACCATGTGAGAAATTAAAGAAACAAATATCAGCTTTGCTTCCCCTTCCTGCCACCCCCACATTAGCCACATCTTTGCAAAACATACCATGCAGCATGTACTGATTCAATGGCAAGACTTACTTCTGTGACCAAGATTTTTCTCACTGAGACCTTCAAAGCTCCAAACAATGAAAAACAAGTATCAGATGAAATGATCCAATGACAAATTTGCAATATTCAGCATCAAGGTGACATGTACAAATACCTGAGTCAATGGAACAAAAGCAGGTTTGCCTTTTCTGTACTGTTATTTTTTCCAGATTGTTCCAAAGTAACTAGAGTGATACCTAAGGGTTAATCACACGATTTATTGAAGACCTTCAGAGGCCCCATTCTGGTTTGTCTTCTCTCTGTCAGTGCCAGGCAGGTAGAAAGATAATCAGAGAGAAAGTTGATTTCACTAACCTTAAGGATCCATCGTGGAGATTGCTGCTTTTTGTAAAGTCAAGAAATGTCATTGATCCCACTCCTCAGGAAGCCTGCTAGCTCCTTAACCAGAATTTCAGAAGTTATTTGAAAAATAGAAGTGCTTCAAAATTTGCTATGAAGTATAGCTTTTAAATGTGATTGTTGCTTAGAAATTATCAAATCTCTTTTCAGTGGAAGATCTAGGTTTTTATTTTGTGTATGTGCAGTGTAGACCTGAGAAGAGTATCTGCTTACCATAGAAAATGTTGGCTGTAACTGAAAAAGAGAATGTCTGAATGTATATGGAAATATGCCTGAACATATGAGAAAATGCAACATTTCAGCCAGCATATTCAAACCAAAGTATTTCATTTGAAAGTGACATAGTGTTATCTCTTAGGAAATGCAATACATTGGCTTGGTTTCCCCACGTTATGTTCTATGAATAGGTTTCCCATCCTGGTTTCAGCTCCCATAATGCTGGGGATAGCAGTACTGTGCAATGGGAGGCATGGGCTAATGGGGAGACTTGCTTAGGCAGGTGGGACTTCTGGCCTATAATGGGATACAGCAGTTGCATTTATAGACCACAGTTTTGAAGTTATCACTCCTTTGCTGGAAGATGTCAATTTTCCATTGGGAAATCCATTCTCCACATTTTCTGGCCAGAATTTATGTTTATCAGTATCCTAATTCCAAAACCTCTTCTCTAGCACTTCCTTTCCTTTGACAATCCACTAATAGCTTCATTCTCTTCGCTATCATTGGCTCATCTTTCTTCTCATGTGTAAGCGTAGATCAGCTGAAACATGTATATCTGTTGTCTCCTTCCAATAGCCATCTGATTCTTTACATTAGCCATAAATTTCAAACATATTGATGAGAAAGGTAAGAGGCTTTTGTACCTCTCATTTGTTTCAGTACTGGGATCTAAACAGAAATTCATTACAGTCCCCACTTTTACATCTTACATACATTATAAAAAATGTTTTAACAGCATTTGGCAGAGCACAGTTAACCAGTGAGCAGACTTTCCTGATAAATATTCACAGTTTCAAATCTGCAAGCAGTATGCTGAATTATTATTTACACCTATTTTATATGCTAAGTATGATATCTTGGTAGTACTTCAGCAAGCTTCTAATTCTAGTGGATGTCTACTCTGTTATCATTGGGAAAAAAATATACACACATGTAAATATATATATTTATATATTTAGAAATCCAGCTGTTGTTCCAGACAAAGATTCCTTGTATAGGTACCCAAGTGGTGGTGTACACTCATTCCTTGTGGCCAGTGAGTATGATGAATACATCCTTAGTAGCAAGATGACAGTTACTTCCTCATGCCAGGGGAATACCCAGAACAGCATTAATAGATGTCAGTGGCAGGAAAATTGTCTGACCCATTGAACCTTTATTTTTTGCAGAGCAGATAGTAGCGATTTATTTAAACATTTTTAATGGTGCATGTATTTCATGAGGTTCTATGATGGGGCTACAGAACTGATGGACGGGGTAGAGCGGTTGATGTCATCTACCTGGACTTGTGCAAAGCATTTGACACTGTCCCACGCAACATCCTTGTCTCTAAATTGGAGAGACATCAATCTGATGGATGGACCACTTGGTGGATAAAGAACTGGCTGGATGGCCACACACAAAGAGTTGTGGTCAATGGCTCAATGTCCAGCTGGAGACCAGTAACGAGTGGTGTCCCTCAGGGATTGCTGTTGGGACTGCTCTTGTTCAACATCTTCATCGCTGACATGGACAGTGGGATTGAGTGCGCCCTCAGCAAGTTTGCCGATGACACCAAGCTGTGTGGTTCGGTTGATACACTGAAGGGAAGGAATGCCATCCAGAGGGACCTTGACACGCTTGTGAGGTGGGCTGATGCCAACCTCATGAGGTTTAACCATGCCAAGTGCAAGGTCCTACACCTGGGTCAGAGCAATCCCAGGCACAGCTACAGATTGGGCAGAGAAGAGATTCAGAGCAGCCGTGCAGAGAAGGACTTGGGGGTGTTGGTTGATGAGAAAATGAACATGAGCCTGCAGTGTGCGCTTGCAGCCTAGAAAGCCAACCATATCCTGGGCTGCACCGAAAGGAGCGTGACCAGCAGGTCGAAGGAGGTGATCCTGCTCCTCTACTCTGCTCTTGTGAGACCCCACCTGGAGTATTGTGTGCAGTTCTGGTGTCCTCAACATAAAAAGGACATGGGACTCTTGGAACAAGTCCAGAGAAGGGCCACGAGGATGATCAGGGGACTGGAGCACCTCCTGTA